TTAATATCTATCAAAGAACCGTGCGTCAGAGGGCCTAAACCAGATGATTTAATATTTATCGTTTCAAGCTCAAAACTGGATTCGAAAACTAAATTTTTGCAAGTTGCATCTTGGAGCAATGAAATTCACGCCTTCAACTTTTACCAAAGAAATGGAAATGAATGGTGGTGGCTCGGAAGTTCTTGGCATGCACTCAGCTATCCAACTCGCGGCCAGGGTCCCTTTGATGGCCACGTCAATGGTTCATTGGTAATGAAGGAACTTAACTCTCCCTGGTTACATTGGCACTCTCAATCATTTACAATTTTTGATTGCCTAAATCCTAAAGATCCAGTTAGATTTGAACCTTTATTTCTAAATCGTTCAGATGCGAATGAACTTGAACCTATAATCAAGGGTGCTATCTCACATTGGAATGTTTTCCGGTTATATGAATCTCTGGACTTCACATCATTTAAAGTCTCCAACATTAAAACATTTATGCGACAGATAATTGACAATACTACTTACAATATAATTGCATCTGAAACACAGTATTCAGCCCTTTCATCAAATAATGAATTGCATTTGCCCGCATCATTTTTTTTAAACATCAGCGTATTTAACGAACTATCAAATATTGGTTTTATAACCCTTCAAATTCCTATAATTAAAATTGATGCAGAAAAATACATGAAAAGCATTGAGATATATGATATAAATTTAAAAGATGGTAATAGAATTGTTGAGAAAGGTGATGGCATGTTTGCATTCCCTGTTCCGGAACCCGCGTATGAGGATACTTCCCTGTTCTCAATGTTTTTTAATCAGAGAACTTTAAAAAAAAAGGGGATAACTTTACTTGAGTTGCTAAGTCCAAAATTTATTCTATGTCTTTTGATGATCGATTTTTGCAACCCGCTAGATTCAAAACATCGGCATCAGTTATTGAAGTATATTCCGGATACTGCGAATGCATTGGCTGTCGAGGATAATAAGTATAAGTATGATCTCGAGGATGAGATTGTGGAGAGTATAAGAAAGAATGTCGAAAATTTGCCGAAACACTCAGTTGAAGCCGAATTCCTGGAATATTATGACCATAAAAATTTGGTAAACTATTGCGAAGAAACTATTAAGAAATATTTTAGGAACTTGCAAATTCGTTTGGGTTCCCAAGATG